ATTTTTTTTCGAGTTAGGTCTTTTCTGATCACGAATTCTGAAAGAGCACCCTCGAAAACATAAAAATCCACATTTTCATATTTTCACTTTTTCTGAGTGAATAACTTTGAAATTTTTTGGAATCGTCTCTTAAGTCAAGGGAACAATTTTTTTTATCCTATTTTCTATTTATTTATTTATGATGAGCGAAAATCATATGAAGTTATGTAAAGTGTTCCATTAAGGCCTATACAATAATGTATAATGTTTCATGGATTCGTTACTCCCCACCGTAATCGTTAGAACCGCTGACTTGAGATCATTTGGAAAATATATAAGCACTGTCCTATCGTTTGTAACCATATTGCAGATATTAGTATCTGAATTGAAATATTCATTTGCAATTAAACATCCTTAGAAAAATGACTTCTGACTGCGTGGTTGATATTCAGTCCTTCAAGATTAGTAACAAGAAAGGAGAAATCAGGTGGGCTGTGAAGGAACTGGGGATTTATAATGGTAAAATTTCTTATCATTATATATTTAAGCCACCTTTTCCCTTTCATCAGCTATCAACAGAGCTACAAAAGGAGGCGAATTGGGTAATGGATTTTCATCATGGTATTCCATGGGATGATGGTTATGTATCTCTCGAAAATTTCCCTAAAATCCTTGAGGGAGCAACCAAGACAGCTGGAATTATTTTTGTTAAAGGGAACCAGAAAGCAGAATTCCTGAAGAAGTATATAAATAAGCCGATAATGGAACTTCCGGAACAACCCAAATTAAAACCGACGATTGGAATGAATGTTGGAATCGCAAGCTGGACAGTTGTGCATGTGCATTAGCTAATGCTTATAAATTGTACAATTTATATTTAGAATATGTAAAATAAAGAAATAAGTTATATATTTTTGTCTTTTATTATTTTCCATGTAATAACGAGCGTTCAAATAAAAACGTGGTCGAAGTTGGCTCTGACAGATTGGACGTAGGGAGTAGCTTATAGCGACCAACTTAACCTCATTTCTNTTATCTTCCTTAAGAAGAACTAATGATCCTATTAGGGAAGAGACATCTGATTGAAACTTGGGCCACTGTTGTGGTGGTGTATTATCTTCCTTAAGAAGAGCTAATGATCCTATTAGGCAAGAGACATCTGATTGAAACTTCCATTTGGACCTTTGCTGCAGGTTATTCATTTTTCCATATCTTCCAGAAGTGTTGAGTCATTCGGAGAATGACCGCGCAACGGGAGTGAGTCGTTCGTTTTCGACATCAGGTTCTGGTACTGAATTGAGCGGCTCCCCAATTATAAAGTGGCCTGGAGACAAAGCCTCAAGGTCTTCGAGATCACTGGATAGAGGGGTTAAGGGTCTTGAATTCAGAACCGCTTCGATTTGAGTTAAGAGAGTTAAGTAACTATTCATAATTCTTCATTATTCAAAATGCGTTTCAGGTGATATTTGACTGCCTTAACAGCTGCCTCCCAGAGACCTCCAAAGTTTGGAGAACGTGCTGGAATATAATGCCACTGAATTTTCTGATCGCGCAAATAATTTTGAATTTGGTCTTTCTGAATTTTGTGATAAAACTCTTAACAACTCACGATTTGCTCGCGTAAAATTAGAGGCATTGTCCGAGTAAATATGACTACATAAGCCACGTCTTGCTACGAATCGTTTTAAGGCATTTAAAAACATATATGTAGTTAATTCTGTCACCAACTCTAGATGAGCTGCCTTGCTTGTCATGCACACAAATACGCAGATGTATCCTTTATATAAACTGGACTTGCGTAATCTACAGCGCAACTAGAAAAGATGCGATTTGGAGTGACGCGACTGGTAGGTAATTCGCCCATCTGAGGGATAATAGTGCGAGGTTTGGATTTAAAGCAAGGAATACATTTATGTATAACCGAACTTACCCCGGATACACCATTTAATGGCCAGTAAGTTTGTCGAACGCAGGATAACGTTGTCGTATTCCCACGTGTAAATTGCGAACGTGGAAATCTCGAATTATTAGACGCGTGAATGGATGTGTACTTGGTAATAAGATTGGATGTCGTTGATTGAATGAAAGTTTTGAATTTTTTAATCTACCGCCCACACGAATTATAGAATTGTTATCTAAAAAGGGATTGAGTGAATTTAACCTGCTATTTGGCTTAACTGAATTATTTTTACGCAATGCGCGATTATCATCAGAAAAGGCCTGAATATGTGCATATTTTACAAGAATATGTGTACTGTTTACAAGTTCTTGATATGTGAGCGAACCTGTTGTTCTCAAATCTTTTGCTAATCTGCAGTTTTTCGAGAACTTCTGACAATAAGCTACCACCGTAAGTAGTTTTGATAATGTTGAATACCTTTCAAAGATGTTAAAATCGTGTGTACTTATTAATGAGACGGTTGCTTGTTTACGTCTATATTCTGGTAAATTTGACTGAATTCCATGTTTTGCATAATTTGATATATGTGTATTATTTGGCCAATCATTTTCAACTTCCAGCAAATATTTCGGTCCATGCCACCATAATTCGCAATTAATAATTTCTCGAAAATTTAAACCGCGTGAAATAAGATCGGCAGGATCATTGCTCGAAGTAACATGATGCCAATTGTCAATTTGAGTAATTTGTTGAATTTGTGAAATTCTGTTACAAACGAACGTTTGCCAGCTGCGAGGATCAGCTGATAACCAGGA